CGTGCTCAGTGGCTTCCCAGTGTACTTCCTGCTTTTTCACTTCCAGTGTCAGTCCAAGTGTATGCAAACAGCCACTATGCATCTCCAGCTGCTCCTGGAAGTTGCTCCAACCATTAAAGATCATTGACTGGGTGGTCCGTTAGGTTCTGCACTGCCCTCTTTACTACAGTCCCCACTCTTCCTACTGGTTCTCTGTAGACTGACTATACATAATTCTAATAAGCACTTAGTACTATAGTACAACTGCTTCCAAGTTTGGGAATATCTACCAGGAAGGACACTATCCCATTTCTAAAGCCTGTTCCTTTGACAACTGGTTTCACAAAGGAACCAGCTAGTTACAGGCAGACATTTAGTTGCTATTTGTAGCCTAAGAAGACAGCATGGAATGAGTTTCTTCTTTGGGTTTCTGCCATTGGAATCTTGTAGTCTTATTTGGACTCGGATGATGCTTGAGCTGAAGACTTGCACATCTTGGGATTTATATGTGGCTGCTTGTATCAAGTGGGCAGAGAAGCAGAGAAAGCCAAGATGGCAGGAAAAATGAAGGTGGGATATGATAGGATATGCTTTAACAAATATGATATGGTGCTGAAGAGCAGGGAGGCAGGATCTGAAAGAGTAGTTTTGATTTTTGTCCTATAGTCTGCTACTTGACAGTAGTCCTTGGGTTTTACATCCTACTGCTTCTCTTCCTCCTTCTCCTTTTCTTCCTCCTCCTTGTCCTTCTCTTTCTCCTCCTTCTTCTCTTCCTCCTCTTCTTTTCTTCTTCCTCTTTCTCTTCTTCCTTCTCCTCCTCATCCTTCCCCTCCGCTTCCTTCTAATTCGCAAAGCTGGAGATTAATCCAAGGGCATCATGAATACTTAAGCAAACACACTATGCTGTCGATTTTCCTGAACAACTGATTCCATAAAATAAAATTCTCATTTTGCCTCTGGTGAGTCTGAATGGGTACCTACCTACTTCTGGCAAATAGAAGAGATTTGTCTATGGTAATTCTTGCTCAGGAAGACTTCAATTATGGCTTGAAGTTGTCTATTTGCTTGAACAGTGCAATAAACAGTAGATGTATTGCTAGGAAGAAGGGGTTATTGGCTTTGAGGAAAAGGAAAACAGATACTTTTCCAGGAGAAAGGACAAAGAGCTGGAATAGCTCCCGTGAAAGGTAATATGGTCATAAAATTAAAGAGAGGAGAGGACAGAGAAACCTTGCTATCCTGGGACGAATGCAGGAGATGAAGAGTGACAGGTGCCTAGAATGTTGATGGTGAGAGTGTAGCTCCCGAGGGCATCAGCGGGGTGGGTGACTCAAAAGAAAAGGGCAGAGGATATCTTTTAGTTTCTCCTGAGAGCTGAATTTCGGCAACTCATGAACAGCTTTAGTGCACCTTGCATACAAGCCATTTACTTTTTCTGTTAGTGTGATACAACACCATGATCAAGGCAACTTATAGAAACTGTTTATTTAGATTTATAGTTCCATAGAGCTAAGAGTCGAACACCACTACGGCAGGGAAGTGTGGCAGCAGGCAGACGTGGTGACTGCCACAGCTGAGAATTCACATTTTGAAATTTCAAGCATGTAGCAGACAGCATAGCTGGAATGGTGTGAGGCTTTTGCAACCTCAACGCCTGCCCCTAGTGACACATTTCCTCCAGCAAGGCCTCACTTCCCAAACCTCCATGAATAGCTCCATCAAGGGCACTTAATGTTCAACAATCTGAGCCTATCATGGACATTCTCATTAAAACCACTGCTAAGCTCATAAACTTGTTTCACGGTAGAGATCAGTCAGAAATTTCAGCACACTTCGATTCAGTTCTGACAGAGTTTGAGTTTGGTTCAAGCTCCTTATGTTTAAGGGTTCAGTTCCTCATAACTACTGTCACTTCAGACACCAGTGATTTAAGTACAGGATCCCCACACTACCTATACATCTACCAGCATGTCATTGAAATAGGACATTCCTACAACATCCCCTTTCAAGTATAATAATTTACTAAAATGATACATGGAACTCAGAAAACTACTTTTTTTTTCCTGGCAAATAAAAGTTATTTTATAATTCTCTACTTAATGTATTTAATTTTATTAAAAATTACATTGAATAATTAATCTTAAACACACATCGTTAAATTATGATTTCACACTAATATTCAAGTTAATATTTGCAAATTTGTCAAATTGAGTTTATGAGAGTAAAATGCTAGTTAAAAGGTTGGTTCCCACTAAAAAGTTCAAAAAAAGCATGGCAATTTCTAATACAGATGAGAAACATTATGATATGAAAAAATTAACACTGAAAATTAGATGACAATATAAAATGAAAAGTAAAACATTCAAGCTTTTTGTTAAATTTGTCTAAATGGTATTCATAGTCACAGTATAGATTTCTATGAAAAAATATGGAACGCTTCACGAATTTGTGTGGCATCCTTGCGGAGGGGCCATGCTAACTTTCTCTGTATAGTTCCAATTTTAGTATATGTGCTGCCGAAGCGAGCACTCAGAAAACTACTTTATGATTACCAGTTGAATACAAAAGATTCAGGCTGGAGAGATGGTTCAGTGGTTAAGAGCACCGACTGCTTTTCCAGAGATCCTGAGTTCAATTCCCAGCAACCACATGGTGTCTCACAACCATCAGTAATGGGATCTGATGCCCTCTTCTGGTGTGTCTGAAGACAGCTCCAGTGTACTTATATAAATTAAAAACAGAACAAAAAACAGAAAACAAAAAACAAAAACTGTCCCCTTCCTTTAAAAAAAAGGAATATAGAAGACGCAACTCAGAAACACTTAAACGAAAGAGATGCATGGTGCAAGGCTGGGGGATGGGAGTGCAGTTTCTGTCCGATTCTGCTTCACTTTGGTTGTGTAGAAGTTTCCTCTGATTTGAAATATTCCATCCCAGAGGGAGGTTTGTTAAGACTCAGGAAGTTAACAAAATTTACAATGCTCAGGAAGTAAACAACCAACAACTCTCAGGAAGCTCCTGAAATTCATGAGATTCAAAAGGCCCCTCCCTAAGGTTGTCTGGCCTGAACAAAAGCTCCTCTGTTTGATGAGCCCACTTGCTGGGTAAATAAATGTTTGTCTATGTCTCTTCAGGAAAAGTCTCCTAACACCCTTTCCAGCACCTACAAATGTTTACCCAGTAGCTTTCTAAATCCTGCTATTCAGGACTTTTTATAGAGGTGTCATTAGGTATGCATGATTGATTAAGTCATTGCACAATTTCAATCTCCAACCTCTGTCCCATCCCCAGGGGGAGTGGGTTGAATGCTCTAAACTTCTAACCATGCCCTATTCCTTAAACTACTGAGGTAACATATACAAATATTCAGCATTCTAGTCATTTCAAAGATAATAGGGACTCTGTACTAGCAATTGGGAACAAAACTTTATTTCTGGTCTTCCACAGTCCTGAATCATGAACTGTTCATTAGCACAGTTCCAATCGTCCCATTTTCCCAAGGGGGATAATTTGTTGCAGAGAAAAAAAGTTTCAAAAGAGGCTGGTCCTACCCAGCTCATCCTCTAAGTAGACTGAGGGTTGCTAGAGAAACTAAGTATGTGATTGAAAGACTGGCGTGTTCAGCATAACCTCTGGAGAGGGGGGAAGGGCTAGAAATTAACTTCAGTCATCAAAGGCCAATAGTTTAATCAAGCATGCATGTGTAATAGGGATTCTATACAAAATCTAAGTGAGGGGTTAGAGAATATCCAGGCATGCTGGGACTCTATGTTTCTCCCACTTTACCCTACGTACCTCTGCACTGCCCATTCATACATTTTGTTTTGTTTTGTTTGAGACAAGATTTCATCTAATCCAGGCTGGCCTCGAACTTATTACACAGACAAAGATGGACTTGAACTCCTGATTCTTATGCACACGTTTCTGAGTGCTGGAATTACAGAAGTACACCATCACACCAATTCATGCAGTGCTGGGGATCAAACCCAAGGCCTTGGGCATGTGAGACAAGCACACTACCAACGGAGCCACATCCTAGTTCTGTTTGCATCCTTTATAATAAACTGGCAAATGCAAATAACTGTTTCCTGGGCTCTGTAAGCCATTATAACAAATTATGAAACAGTAAGATAGGGGTTGTGGATCTCTTGATTTGTAGCCCAGAGGCCCCTGTGGGTTGCAAATGACATCTGAAGTGGGTGCAGCTCTCATTTGTGACTGAGTCTCACAGGTACCATCACCTGCAGAGTTGGTCATGAAGCCACTCTGGCAAACTCACCCTCTCTGTTCTCCTTCCTCACAATATTGGAAGCAAGCAAAAGAAACTTATTCTAGGTATTACCATTTGACTTACAGACTTCATTTAATCATCAGGAGAAACTAAATTCAAGGTCCCAGCCCCTAGGAGAGCTGGGGACTTCCCAATAGCTTAACAGCTTCTATTGAAAGTAAACAGTTGTCTGAGTCCAGACATCTCAGGGACAACTTCTTCATCTTGCTGGCAAGGTCAAACTAAGTTCATATTCCCAGGCCCCAGAACCAACTCCTATCCTGATTGGTGGAAACTCCCTTGCTCAATCCCTTATGTCAAAATATGATTGGACAATGCTACAGCCCACTCTGTTTCCCCTTGCTTCATGGTTTCATTTTAAAAATATGCTGAACAGAGTTTTCTCAGGGTCATAGTTCAGCTCTGTTCTGCAAGCAGGTTATGATTTTGAGATGCACTGCTGTGCTCACAATAAATTGTACAGGCAGCATCCAGTTTGAAATAGATATAGATATCCTATAGGCTTTCCTAAAAACTCCTTAATGGGACTTGAAGTGGAGAGAGTACTTGTCTAACATGTTCGAAGCCCAAGCCCTTGCTTTGATCTCCAGCTTCTCATAAGCAAGACCCAGCTCAGATGTTTGAAGCTATCCTTGGTTATATAGCATATTCGAGGACAGCCTGGGCTATATGAAACTCTGTCTCAAAAAACCCAAACCAAATTGAAATGAAGAATAAGGTTAAAAATTCTTCTCCCCTGGCAATGGGCAAAGAGATACTTGTTGGTGATGGTATTCTAATATCAGTCAAAAGTAGAGGAGATGGCAGTCCTTGGTTCATCCTAGCTTGATGCCTGGCTTGGTGGCCAAAGCTGTTTTATGCCCAGGACTCATAAAAATTAAATCAATTCAAATCCAGGTAGCACAGCAAGAGAGGAGGAGGACCAAGACCTGCAGTCTGCCATGCCACGTGGCTCAGGTCGGGAAGGACACTCACGGACCTGCCCTTCATCCCATGGCAAAGGTGAGCCTTAGACAAACAGAGCCCAGTCTACCACCACGCAGCGCAATATGGGAGGAAGGAGACAGACCTGAGGACTGCCATGCCACCCACAGACTTGTACTTCTGCATTTGGCACAGGCGGGCCATAGACACCTGCTTGCAGGAGGATGTCACCCAGGGGCCCACCAGCCACATGGCCAGCCTGCAGCGAGAGCCACCACAGTGTGTGAGTGTGTGGTGGATAGATGCGAGAGAAAGAGAAACTGCAGCTTAAGCATTATGAAGAGAGATGGAACTGGAGATGGGATGGAGAGGAGGAGCCTGTTGTGACCACCTGGGGCCATGCTGAGGCCTTAGCCTGAGCTGCCACTGAGGTCCATGTCTTGGTCCACGGTTATGTAGTGGCAGGGGTCAATGTTGATGTCCATGGCTTATTTTTACCACTAGAGAACATGTGGTCATCACTGGTTGGGGCAGCTGCTAGGGACCACGGAGATGTTCAGGGACTGTACAGAACTGGCCCCGCCCCTCACTGGCTGCAGTGCTCTGGAGAGCTGGCTCTACCTCTCACCTGCAGCAGCTTACAAGAGCAGGCCCTGTGCCTTGCCCAAGCATCGCAGTGGAGCGCCTGGACTTCCTGGCTGGGGCGGGAGTGAGCGGACTCCAAGGGCGTGAGCGTGAGAAAGCTGACCCCACCACTCATCTGCTGTAGGGTGGCATGGGTGTAGGGGTGACGCCTGCCCTGCCCCCTTGCCCCTCACCACCTGAAGCAGTCAGATGAGCTGACCCTCGGGTCATAAGAGTAGGAGAGATGGCCCTGCCCCCTTGCCAGCTGCATTGCTAGAGAGAGCGGTCAGAACCTTGACTGGGTAGCACAATGGAGCTGGCTCTGAAGGTAGGTGTGGGTGCAGGTGAGCCAGCCTGGAGGGCAGGAGAGCAGAGAAGCTGTGCCTGCCTCCTGCCAATGGTGGCATTGGGTGGCTTAGCTGGAGCAGTGCTGGTGGAGAGCTTGCCCTGCTGGTGAGGATAAGGGACAGCAGGTTTGTTGACCAGTTCAGCTACCACCAGGCCCAGATCCAGGGCTCTGAGTTGGCCCACTCCAAAATCTACATCATGGGCGAATGGTTGGGACACATGAATGGACCAGGCCTGCTGATCCAAAGCTGCAGGGTCTCCATGACACAGGGCAACAATAAGGTAACTGGGAGGAGTCCCAGTGAGGATCCGATATTAACGGTGTCACAGAAGCCAGAGATCTCGAATGACCAGTGACTCATTGCAACAAACATTCACAAGTAAAGATGTATGGACAGAGGGATATACTGTGGGACACACTGTGACATACTACGGCTTTCCACGATGAGACGTTTCCTATGCTTTGTTTTTATTGTTGTTTTTTGTTTATTTGCTTGTGTGTTTTTTATTTTAGGGGGAGGTTGCGAGGGCAAAGGGTAGATATGAGGGGATGGGGAAATGATCACATGGGGTGCATGATGTGAAACTCACAAAGGATCATTTAAAAAGATAAAAAAAAAATTCTTGGTGATTCTGGGAGGTCCTTTTGTATACTTTTGTACCAGCATGACTTCAGTGAGGGTTCTTCGTGTGGCTTGAATGAGAATGGCTCTCACAGGTTCATATATTTGAATGCTTGGTTATTACTTGGTAAACTGTTTGGGATGAAGTAGGAGGTGTGGCCTTGTTGGAGGAGGTGTGCCACTAGGGGTGGGCTTTGTGGTTTCAAAAGCCCACACCAGGCCCAGTCTCCTTCTCTCTCCCTTCAATTTTTAGATCGGGATGTAAAAGTTCTTAGCTATTGCTGCAGCACCATGGCTACCTACCTGCCTGCTGCCACATTTCTTGCCATGAGGGTCATAGTTTCATACTTTGAAACTATAAACAAGCTCCTAATTAAATGCTTTATTTTATAAGTTGCCTTGGTCATGGCGTCTCCTTGAAGCAGTAGAAACTAAGATAGTTCTTCAAAGAATCAGACCAGAGGGTCCATGTGTGACAGATGAGAAGGGTTTAACTGAACAACTAGTCCACACAATTATAACATGTGGGAAATCTCAGGACAGGTCTGGGGACCTTGGGACACTCATAGCATATATCAGTTCCAGTCTCAAGACCTTAGTGCAAGGGAAGCTGAAGGTATACTCTCTGTTTTAAGTCAAAGGCTGTAGAACCCATGGAGGAAGCTGTTGTTAAGTCCTGGAGACCAAACAGCTTGGACTCTAATGTCCATTGCAAGAGCTGAATATGCCCTGGCTTTTGAAGGAGACATCAATCTCTTTGTGATTGTGCTCTGGTTGGATGGTGCCTGCCCAGACTAAGGACAAGTCCAGCCAAGTGCACATGCTATAATTCTCTAGAAACAGCCTCACAGACACACCCACAAAGCTATCAAAAAAAATCTCTATTTCTTACCTAGACAATCTGGACACTTAAAATTAACCATCACAGGCACTTAACTAATTTTTACTGATTGCTTAATACTATTGGCCAGCTCTTCATGCCTATTGGAGCATTTCCATTTTATAATTATCAGCAGAGCTGGAGGGACTGTCTTGATGTGCAGAGCATGGTGGTCCAATCATAGACTTGATCACTTGATCACCACTGCTCCTTGTTCTAAGCACTGGTCTTCCCCTGGGACTAGTATTTGCCATCTATATAAATAAAATACACAGGCTACTATAATCCTCATGGAGGCTGAGACAGGAGAATTACCACGAGTCTGAGGGCAGCTTACAATATGTAGTGAATTTTAGACTGGGCTATAGAGTAAGACAGTGCCTGTGTGTGTGGTATATGGGGCATGTGTGAGCATCTGTGTGTATGTGCTGTGTACAGTGTGTGTACATGTGTATGTGTGTGTGTGAGTGATGTGTAGGGTGTGTATGTGCGTGTAACTGTGTGTATGTATGTGTGGTGTGTGGGGTATGTATGTGTGTATATCTGTGTGTATGTGTGTGTGGGGGGTGGGTGTATATGTGGGGGGTAGGGAATGTGTTTGGTGGCGGTGAGGTACATTGTGGGGGAAGGGGATGCCTCTGGGGCCCATGCGGAAGCATCTCTTCTCCCTGAGGGACCAGACACATATAGAGATTATACAGGACATGGGGAGGGGAGTTGAGAGAAAGGCAGAGAGAGAAAGAGGAGGGAGAGGGAGAGGGGGAGGAGGATGAAGAGGAGGAAGGGAAGAGAGAGAGGGAGAGAGAGAGAGGGAAGGAGGGAGGGAGAGAGAGCGAGAGAGCGAG